GTCCTTTGACAGGACCCATAACAACTGACTACTGTCCTGACCGTTCCCTATTAAGGAAGATTGCAGAGGGGTCTCCAGACATCCCCAGGACAGGCCTGGCTCCTGAGTGATGCTGGAGTCCTTCTCCCTTGTCCTCTCCTAGAGCCCACTGCATCCTCATGCCTGGCAGACCCCTCCCTAGTGTGAACTTGCTCCCAAGCCTGTCTGTTCACTTCGAGCTTTGAGTCTTGTTGGTCATGCCTCCCTGGGAGCTAGAGGTTGGGATGTGGGTTCCCCATGTTTTTCTACACCAGGCTCCACTGGCAGATCCTATGACCCCTAGGGTGCCTGGACTGTGACACAAGATGTTTTAGCATAGCCATGGATGCCATACTTACCTGGAAGTCTGAACTGCCACTAGACAAGGCTCAATCTGGCTATTTCACCAAAAAGTGCTCTATCTCACAGGCTTCTGCCCATTCTGCCTGCCCCTCCTCTCTCTCTATTATCTTCCCCCCACCTATGTATGTGTGTGCATATGCATGCGTGTGTGTGTGTGTGTGTGTTTGAAGGTAGGAGAGGATAAAGTCTTAAGAAACAACCAGAAAGAATTCTATGGGGTTTGGGGAGTCTCATTAGTTGTCCGTATATAAGTGGCATTTTGAGTATTCAAGTGTCCCTCTATGTGGTAGGTACTATAGTACCTGGAACCGGTGGGCATACCCCAAAGGGCGGCAGCTGCCTCGGATAGGCATGGTGCATAGAGACTTCCAGCTTGTGTGGGCTGCCAGAGGAGCTCAGGCCACCTGGGAACTTTTCTCCATCTTTTCTTCAGCCTGGTCCCTGACATCCCAAGACCCTAGAAGGCATCCCTGCCTCAGCCAGGTCATCTCTCCATGTCCTGAGGCATTGAGGCTAAGCATCTAACTTCTCTGTCATGGCTCTTTATTTTTCTCCCAATGTTTTTTTTATTAATTATTTGGGAATTTCATACAATGTACTCTGATCACACTCACTTCCCATTTCTCTCAGGCCCACCTTCCTTCCCACCCTTGCACTCCCCCCCCCCAAAAAAAAAACTCAAAACCCTCCAAACCCCCAAGTCCAATTTGTGTTGCCAATATATATTCACTGGAACCTGGTCAAACTCCCAATGGCCAACGTGTTAAGGAAAACTGAGTCTTCCCGCATCTCTCCCCTACAGAAGCCATCAACTGTGAAGAGCTACACTTTGGCATCTTTACTACAATGCTTAAGGAAGGACTTTCTTCAATGGCTTCATGTCTGGACTATTTCTTTTTGGGTGGGAATGGGGAGAGGTTGGAACAAAATGTCCAGCTATAAGTCTGTAGACACTGATACCACAAAGACAACTCCCTTCCCATGGCAGCCAGTGGCAGCACAGATCACAGACACCAACATGGTTGCCAGGGTCTGTTATGGTTCTTTACACATGCAGGTGCTGGGCCTTGGTGTCCTCATGTTCCAGGAGGAGAGGCCTTAGTGGTTGAAGGCCCTTCTGTCCTAGGCCTCTTTTCTTTCTAGTGCTTCCTTCTCGTTCCTGAAGGACACCCAGCTGTTATTCACTGTTATGGCTTGGCAGAAAGATGGAGCTGTGGGTGTGACTGGAGTAGGGATGGAGGGGTTGGGAGTGTGAGAAAGGTTCGAGGGTCATGATGGTCCTTAGTATGTCTTGATGTCCCCCTTCCTATACTCTGGCCGACAGTTGAGAAGCAATGAGAGCATCAGTCTGGTGCCCTAGGTTCTCTTGGGTTGAGAAGCTGCTGCCTGGGCCTGTTTGAACCCAGGCCTGGAAGCAGATGACTGGGGGCTGGGCTGAGCTCTGGGAGTTAAGAAGGACCTGTTCTCTGGTGCTGCAGACACCAGTGGGGGATTGGAGGGAGTCTGAAGAGATGGTTCCTTGATGTGTCATGGGGACTGTAGGAAGAAATTTGAGGAGAACTTTGCTGTTCCTTGGCACCTTGGAGTGCCTCACAAGGGCACTGAGAGGACAGCAGGTAACAGAACCAAGCTCAGGCCATAGAAGAACTGTCCAGGAAAGAAAAGCATCTTGTGTCCTAGTGAACTTCATCTTCTATGCTCAACCAGTATAACTTTGGTGGGAGAGGACTTGGTCCCAGAGGCTGGGGATAAGGGTAGTAGGATCCATTCCTCAACTTTCCTGGACCCTCCATTAGAGAGGACAATTCTTAGTCAACACTCTAGTTAGTTGAGTTAGCATCTCTAGTCAACACTAAGAACTCTTAACCAATCTGCACTCAGGAGGCTGAGTGAGTGAAGCTGGGACAGCAGTGTCCTAGGGCAGATTAGAAGGCAAGTTCCTCTGCTGGGTCCAGATGCCTCTGTAGCCAGTCAGTGCCTTTATTTTATCTAGTGATTTATAACTAGTTTTGCTTGAGCTTAGTTGGGGTTGGAACATTCCTGGGCCAGGTGTTCCCTCTGTCCCATTCTTATACCTGCCCATCACAACAGAAGTCCTAAGTTGTGTGTGTGTGTGTGTGTGTATGTGTGCATATATGCATACATGTATGTATGTGTAAATGTATACCTGTATGGGGGGGTGTTGGATGCAGGGGAAGGAGGGATATTCAGGTAAACATAGCTGCTGAAACTCCAGGAACAGTGGGTTGGCTATGCGGTGTTGTGGTGTTGAGTCAGGGTGGTCCTGGGAGGGACTACTCAGCTGTCTTCCTGCCTCTGAGAAGGCAGGGCTGAGAAGAGGTGGGGCTTGATGCTGAGAGGTGTGGCCAGAAAGGGGTGTGGCTAGATACTGGAGGACCAGGGAAGGGGTCTAGAGCTAGAAAGCCAGGCAGAAGTGCAGGAGGGAGGAAGAACCAGTCTCACCCACCTAGGAGATTTCTCCAGCTGCCTTAAGTATATGGTTGTACCTTCTTTGGCTTAGGTGTCTCATCTCCATCAGCCCTTTCTGAAAGGACACGTTTACTGTCCTGTGTCACAGACAGAGGGCAGGTAGCTGGTGAAAGATCACAGCTGGGTGGCAGGGGTCTCTCCCCTCTCTATTCAGGCTCAGAGATGGGAGAAGTTCAGGTCTGGGCTGGGCCAAGCTCACTGCTCAAGAACCATGGGCAGACCAGAAAGGGAGCAAGAGCAGTGGCAGAGGCAGTCCCGTGAGACTGGAGCCCTGCTGGTCCTCTAGCGAATGCTCCTAGCACCCACTGGACACCAGGGCCTCGATTAGGGGACAAAGGCACAGCTCTGGGGACAAATACTTATGGGTATTGTCAGCCCAGCCGCTAGAGAGCCAAGGAGAGGCCCACAAAGGGCCCGAAGAAAGGGCCTCGGGAAGGGCTGCGAATGGGCCTTCCCGCACATGCCACCGTTGCCCGGGCGACGGCCCTCTCATGGAGAGGTCTGCTGGGCCATTGTCCAGGGCCTGCAGGACGTGTCACACACCAGATGGTCGTGTGCTGTCTAGGTCACTTATAGGGGGACAGAGTGAAGGAATGTGGCCAGCTCGGCAGGCCGGGGCACCATCTGTTCCTTCAGACCATGGGCATCAGCGGGCATTGAGCGTCCGGCCTGCCAGGCCCAGCCTTCTCCCCGGCTTTAATTAGGTAATTCCATAATTGGGCTTTATTTCAGGTAAATTGCATTTCACACCCGAGAGGGCTGCAATGGTCCTTGTGGGAGAAGAGCACTTGGCCACTCTACACAGTCCATAACACAGCACTGAGGCCAGCAGGGTGCAGGGACTGTGTCTTGCCCAGATGGATGGCCCTCAGCTCCCAGTGGGCTGTAGCCTGCCTGGGCAATACTGAGGGTCCTGGCTACAGCCAGCCACAGCCTGGGGCTTCCACAAATATTTACCCAACAAGGAAACAACAGCTTCTGCCTTCCAGCAATTGTTGCTGCAGAACCCCCCTTGAGGGGGATTGAGGCCGGGAAGCCTGAGACCTCAGCTGCCCTTCCACCCTTCCCTCCAAAAGCTGGCCAGTGCTTGTTGGACCAGACACCAAGACCTTGTGGTGGGACCCACTAGGACATTCAGATCCCTGAGAAGTTCAGGTAAGAGAGCCTTGGGTGTTTTCCTCTCCTATAGGGGCCTCCAGCTACATCCCCACACTTGGCTCTTTGATTCTACTGATTGCTACCTGCTGCCTCCAAAGACCAGGGCACTTCCATCCTTCAAATCACAGAAGCCTCCGGCCCTGATGGCCAGGCATATGGAGTGGGCCTTGGAAGGAAGACAGAATGGGATCAGTAGAGACAGTGGACATTGGCTGGGTCCCTGCTCACAGGGCACTGTTTCCATTCACAGTGGATGGATCACAAAGAGGGACAATCACAGGGCCCAGGTGAGCAGGGCAGTACTCACTTAGAATAGGCCTCCAGCCTAGAGGACTGACTGGACAGTCAGAGGAACATCGTAATCCCAACAGGGAAACTGAGGTTTTGAAGGGAGCCCAGGATCCCCAGCACTTATTTTTTGTATATTCTTATTTCAGAAGTGAAAGTCTTAGGGCCTTGGGAGCTGGTCCTGGAAAAGATGCACTCTTGAATGACCTCCTGGGTCATCAGTGAGTGCCATCTTGGCTGGGAAGGACAGATGAGAGTTCTTAGCACATGTCTGAGAGTGACTTCCTGGGAATATATCAGTGTGTTCCAACTAAGTCAATCCTGACCCAGGCTCAGCTACACCTAAGGCTCAGGGCCTTCTGGGAATCAGGCGGTAACTACATCCTGATCACACCAAGTAGACAGGGATACCTGGAGTGGAAGCCCCAGGATATCCAAGCACAGACTGGCTCAACCTTTGACACATATCATGGTTCCCGGGAGCTCTTGGAGCCTGAGCCTTCTCTGCATGGAGCAGCCAGTCATGTTCACCCCATGGCCACTTGGGCACCTGGGCCCTAGGGAACTACAGGGTCCTGTCCACAAAAAGGCTGAGTCTGTCTGTGGGGAGCAGCAGAAGACAGAAAGGTGGGCAGAGGTTAATCTAAAGATCCCCCAGCCACTCTCAAAAGTAAGCATTGTGCCAAGATCAACCTGGGATAACCCAACTTTATTTGGAAAAGCCTCTCAATCAAGATCATACTACAAAATTCATTAAAACACAAGAATCTGAATCACCAGAAATTATCTAGATTTCTGTGAGGTGTGATGCCCAAGGAACCAATCCTGGGAGAAATGGTGATGGCTCTAACCTCACTGTGGCTCAGCTGCTGGCTGAGGGATATGGCATGAAGAGGCTAGAATCTGAACATCTGTCCAGCACCTCTGACCAGCAAGGAGGGGGCAGGCTGCACACGTGGGGCTCACAGGGCTTGAGGGCCCTGCTCTTCACTGTAGGGGAGAAGTTGTCAGTCCATACCTGGCTAGGGTGGACAGTGGACATTCCCCTGCTTGGGATATCCTTCGGGGGAAGCTGGAAATCCCTCTAGTATCCTGATGTGGTCAACATCACTAGAGAGTGAAGGAGTCAGGCTCTGGCCTGCTGAGCCCCAACTGGGCTACAGCCTGTAGTTAGTGTGGGCTGGGCCTGTCCCGCATTGCCTGCTCCCTGCTGGGCTCTGGATTCAGGGCTGAGGGTGGAAACCTCAGTCTCATCCAGATTTTTCCTGTCTGCCTTTAGGAAGCCATTTGGCATCACCTGGATGGGCTTCCCTCTGCCTGAGTTGCAACCTGCTCTCCACATATAGTCCCCATCCTTCTGTCCTAGCCATCAGAAGAGCATCATCACCATCTTGTTAGGGGCCTGAGAGGAACCCCATGCTCAGCCGAGTTCTAGTTCCCACTGGCTGGTCAGAGGGGTATTGGTGAGCTCCAGGTTCAGGCCAGTGGCTTGATCCATGAGTTTTGGGGCCTTAGGGAGCTAGGCAGTCATATCAGGCCTTCAAGGGGTAAGAACCAGGTAGGTGCCCCTGTTGAGAGGGAGGTGGGGCAGACTTATTGGGGGGGGTAACCCTGGACCTCCCTTCTGAGCTCCTTCAGGAGCCCTCATCAGGGCCTGTCTGGGGCACAGTCAGCTGTTCGTAGGTAGGCAGGCTGTTGCTGGGCAGGAAGAGCTCAGGGTTGATGGAGCCACCTTCATCTCTGGGTACAACTTGTGACCTGCTGTTGCAGGTTGGACCACCTTGTTGCAGGGACAGCAGCTGGTGGAGCATATCTGTGATGATCACCAATCTCTGGTCCAGTTGTGTCACCTGTAGGGACAGAAGCAGAGATGAACCTGGTGCTAGGGACAGCCTAGTGCAGGCCACTGTAGGGCCTGGGCATGCAAGGTCTGAAAGAGAGTATGTCACATGTCCTTACAGCTGTGGGTTGAATTGATGTGTGTACCATACCTAGAGGCCTTTGGTCACCCTCTGCGTGTGTCTGTTATTGGGGTACACGGGGTACAGTACACTACTGAGTTCTTGTGTGTGTCCATAAACCTGGGAAAGCTTAGCAGTTGCCTCTTGTTTCTGGGTAGACCTAGTGGCTGGGAGTCACCTCTTAGCCCCTCCCTAGGCTTTTTGATCTTTGAGACTCTGGACAAGCCTTCTGGAGCTTCCAGAACAGCCTCTGGCTTCCTGTGGCCAAGTGGTGGTGGGGTATTGTCATAATGAGTGGGACCTTAGAGGCTCAAGCTGTCTGCTCAGCTTGGATAGGACTGGAGCCTTACACAGTGGGGGGCCTTTGTGGGAGGGGCTAGCAGAGGGATTGGGACAGCTCAGGGTTGAGCAGGCAGAGGCTGGGTGGGTCATGAAACAACGTCCACCCTCAAAAGTATCTCAAAGATACTAATTTAGGACAATGCCACCTTTCCTGGTCCCCGTAGGTCAGGGCAGTGACTAAGTGGATTTCTTGGCCATGTGGTCATTACCCCATGCCTGGAAGGGGCCTTTTTGCTCCAAGTGCTAGGCAGGTAGCTAAGAAACTGGAGGGGAGATAGAGGCAGGGCAGAACCTGGGATAAACAGAGCAGAGTAGGCACTTGACAGAGGCCACACTTGCTCTGCTTGTAGGAGACAAAGAAGAGCCATTGGAGATCTCTTTAGAAAGAAGGAGCCATTGTGCAAGGGGCTGGAGCCTAGCCCTGGGGGCCTGAAATGCTCAGCTACTTCCTCTTCTGTCTGGAAGAAGAGAACACCCACCGTCTAGGGAGGCCAGAGCCCCTAGCATAATTCCCTAGGAAGCAGGGGCTGTTCCAGGGGCCACTGGAGGACTCGTGGGGGAGGATACAGGAACCTACCCAGCATAAGCATTAGAGCAGGGGTTGAGAGAGAGAGAACCTCAACTGCTGAGCACATGGGGTGGTTTCTCCAGTGTGCTCTGTCAGTAAAGCAGGGGTCTCCCCACGTCCACACTGGGACGTGGAGTAAAGGGAACACCCGTGATGCAGGGATGGAGCCAGAGGTCCTGACAGATGGCCTCATACGTTCTGACCTATGACACATGACCAAAGCTGCTTTAGGGAAAATCATGGGATGACTCAGCCAACTGCTGACTGATTGGCCTCAAAACCTGGGTGACTTGGGCCCTGAGGACAAGAGGCATGCAGGAGCTGGATCTCATCTTCCTGGACAAGTGTGTGCCATGAGTGAAATCTGTGTCCCAGGCAGCCTTCTGATGCTTTCAGTACTGCTTCCTCTGTCCTAATACTTGGTTGTAGTCTGAAAGGACCGGATAGAATTATCCAGGCTGGAGGGCTCACATGGGGAAATTGAAGTTCAGGGCTTAAGAGTACAGTGGGTAGAAGATGAAGCTAGGTTGTTCCTGGCAGGTGAAGTCAGGGTTCATGACCTGTCCAAGGCCTCGGTGAGCCCTGTACCAAAGGAGGGTTGTCTGAGACTAGTCTTGGTCTAGCTTCATGCAGATTTAAACACACAGAGCCAATCTGAGTAGGCAGGGGAAAAGCCCTAGTTGGCTCATGGGGTGGTTTCATGGATGTTTACTAACCCACAATTGAGCACCTGTGGACATCTCACATTTGCTAGTGGGCAAAGTCCTTAAGAAGAGTTCTTGGGGTGGGGGTGGGGCTATTTAAAACCTCCTGTGGGACAGCTGCCACAGGGCCCATCAAACCTGTGTGACCCTGAAGCTTCCCTGGACAGTTCCCAAGCTCACAATGACCCCATGACTGTCACGTCTGTCAACTGGGGTTTTGAGGAGCCTGTATGGGTTCAAAGGTGTCATATTGGCCAAGCTGCTAGGGGCAGGATATAGGTTAGAGTCTTAAGAGGGTCTAGAGTCTGGGACCTCACTGTGCCACTGTCATCTTGACAGGGAGGACAGGGCTGTGAAGACAGGAAACTGAAAGGGCTCCTCTACATGCACCCACTCAGGGTCCTCTTGCTTACCCTGATTGTCATGGGTGAGGAGCAGTAAGTTGTGGCTGAATTCTGAAGTCTTTTTGGCTTTGTTCAGACCAGATTGCCTAAGACAACTTGGCCTGAGGTGGAGACACCAGGGCTTGGGTTCAAGGTTCAAGATCTGGAATGTATTGAATTTGGGGATCCTTGCTGGTGAGCTCAGGATTGTTTGTAGGATCATGAGAGGATAGCCTCTGGGGGACATTCATAGGTCACTTTCAGGGGCCATATTAAAAATGTTTGATATCCAATGAAGAGCCATCAGATGCCAACCTGGCAACAGAAGGGCCTGTGGGGAGTTGGTCAGTAGGATGTCTGTAGTTTGTTTATGCTCTAGCCTGAATCTTGGTAGTTGGCCATGGTGATTGCTGGGTAATCTGTCTAGCAAAGCTTGGCAATCAGGGGCTGCCCTGTGAGGTGGGACTGCTTGCTGAAGAAACCTGGCCATGTACACTCCTTGTCACTTCTGCTTCCCTAGCTGGGAAGTGGAGCTTGCTGCTGTCCACTGGATGTGTTGCACAAGGAGCCTGGGGAGCTTGCCCGCCAAGGCCATGCTTCTTGCCTTGAAGACAGGGCATGGGGTGGTCTTAGCTTGTTCTTCTGGGCTCTGCCTCCTTTCTAGCCACTTAGGTTCCTAAAGTAGCATCTAGAGAGGCCCTTCATGACCAAGCTTGTGTTTGGTTCTGCTGGGCCACTGCAGGGAGGGTACTGCCCTGGTGTATGATGGCTCCTCAGCCCAGAACTCAGTTCTAAAGACAATCTTTCAGCAATTGTTCTTGGAGCCACCTGGCTCTACTTTCTCCTTTTGGTGCTTTGACTACAGCTAGTGAGCTTATGAGCATTGGTGCTCAGTGCTGAGTAGGTGAAGGCAGGGAGTCATGTCACAACGGGTGCCTAGAGAGGTGCCACCACCTTCAGGGAAGGGAGTATCTGCTCTGGACTCTAGGATGGTGTTCTCCAAGAGCCACAGGGACAGATCAGTTTTGAAGATCTCAGATCTCTCACTATTTGCAATTTGATAGTGATTAACAGGGTAAGGCAGACAAAAGCCTTGTTGTGCCCCATCTCTGCTCACCAAATGAGAAACCATAGATGACTTCTGTGGGCCTCAGAAGAGAAAAAAAAGCAATTAGAATAACAGCTAGTTAGAGAGCCTGCGGCGGCTGGTGATCAGACTCAAAGCGACAGGGATTCCTGTTTGATGTGGTTATGAATTTGTTTTCAAAGGAAAATCTTGAAGATTCTTTTTAGATTCTCCCCCCACCCCCTGCAGAACCTGCCCAGCCTTGATCTTTGGTCAGTAACTCCCAAACCAGCTTAACCTGGGGTGGGGACACCAGGATGGGTTCAGGGTGCAGAGCCTTGGGATGTATTCAGACTAGGGATCCTTGTTGATCAGCACAGGGCCCTCTGTCGGGTCATGAGGTGACTTGGGGGACACTCATGGGTCACTTTCAGAGGCTATATTAAAAATGTTTATTACCCAATGGAGAGCCATCAGATGCCAATCTGGCACTAGAAGGGCCTGTGGGGAGTTGGCCAGTGGGATGTAGAGAGAAGGCAGGGTGCACAAGAACCCAGAGCCCAGTTGAGCTACTCCCTGCCTGGGTCAGTGGACCCTGGGCTCCCATTGCCTTCCACTTCTGCATCTTATGGATCAGGCAACAAGGCCTGGGTAGAACATTGCCTGGTGATCCTCGGCCCTCCCCGAGGCTACCTGCCTATCACTGCGTCTCTGCTCCCTCTCTCCACAGCACCTTGCCACCACCATCAGAAAGATTCCTCTTTAACTGTCTAGACTAAGTACAATCCTACTTTTTCACAGGAGGAAAAAAGTCTGCCTAGGGTACTATGGGAGAGGGAAGAGCTGGGGCAGAAGTTAGGGGGCAGGTAGCAAGAGGGCAATGAGTAGCAGGCCTTTATTAAGCACTTATTGGGTACCAGTGCTCTATTGGGTTTGTATATGATGTTTCTTTCCAAATTCAAACAAGCTCACACACATCTCAGGAGGTAGGTAGTATTACAAGTCCTTATCTCAAACATCCCACAAGAGGGGCTGAGAGCACGGGGATGTAGTGGGGCTTCTACAAGTCATCCCCTTCCTGTAACCCCCTTGCTGGCCTTCTGCAATGTAACTTTCCTCCTGACTCCCAGAATCCATTCAGCAGGAGGCCAGGACCCCTGACACATCCAGGCTGCTCCATCCTCACCAGCTTATCCCAGCCCAGCTACTATCTATTTCCTGTCCTGGGACTCTTATAGTAGTATCTACTGGTTGGCTCACTTCAGTGGGTTTATGCATGAGAGTTCTTTGAAAACTCAAAACACCACTGTCCTGTTGGCCCAGGAGCTACCTTGTAACAAATTTCCATTTTCCACTTGGGCTTTTCTCTTTCTATTCCCCTGATTCCAAGCCTACTGCTATTCCCCAATTGCGGCAGTGTGTGCCTGTCTCAGGGCTGTCCACTCTTGGCCCTTTCTTTCCTCTGCAGTGATCCTGTCAGCTCACAATCATGGATTCTTCAGAGTCCCAGCTGTTGTTCATTAGTCACCTGTTTCTCTCATTGGAACTAAGCCCTGTCAGTTGCAGGTCTCTGCCCACACTTGCTGCAATACTCTTCTAAGCTCATGAAAGGATGCAGCCAATGCTAGACATGAGCACCTTTACTCCAGAGTCTAAGTGTGAGGGGAATGAAGGTGGTTTCACCTACCCAAGAGCTGTGTGGGTGGGGGAGGAGTGCAGCCTTGCTGCCCACAGGGCCCATCCTCACCCAACATGCATCTGCATGGTAAGACCATGGAGAACTCCCATGAATTGCACATGGTCAGTTGGAGCTTGTGAAGGCTGGT